TTTTTTGCCAGCAAAGACCAAAAATTTTATGAGCGTGGAATTATGCTACTACCAGAAAGATGGCAAAAGGTGTTGGACCAGAACGGTCAATATATAATTTAATAAAGTATTTGTTTATTATACGAAAACTGTCTTTCATTTCCACAAAAAAAAAACGAAATGACTTTCCGATCAACCCTATAGAATACACAATGTTTATAACTTACATAGCAAATTGCTTTAAATGTATTTTATTTAACTAAAGAAATCCTCCAAGTAGAGAAATCCTTACTTAACAACATGATTTAGAAGTGTTTCGTATTCCATCTGATAATGAATTTTTTATCTAGCAACCATAAATCAAAAAAACTGTCAAATTTGGTTTGTCAACAATTTATTCTCGTTAAATTTTAATCCTTCTAAAGGTAAGCCCAGCACAATTGAGTAGTTAGCAATTTTTCTTGACAACTTAACATGACCGATCTAACAAATATGTTTAATCCTTTCGAGAATGTCCATGCTCATAGAGGAAAACGAAGTGGTCAAACTACACGATTGGAACATAAAACCGAAGGCTACCCCTAAATTTAGTTCTCCTATTATCGAAAGGTTAAAAAAAGAAGTATCACTTATATATGGCCCCAGTGAAATAACGTGGACCTTGACTGATATCGCTAAAGCGTCATACTTACTTTCAATTCCTCCAAAACAGACACAGTTTGATGATGACCAGGAAATGAGAAGGGTTTATACCCTTATATACGACGTCTATCGACGTAAGTTCCAATTGATAGACCACAAAAAAGTAAAGACCAAAAGTTAAAATATGTGTTTTGTTTTAACTAATGAAATACTAAATTTAAAACAATAATCTTGCAGAAATTACCCAAATCACGTAATCCGTAACGCTCATATTGTAAAACTTTATCAATCAAAGTTTTCATTTCGTGTCTAAAGCAAATAGAAAATCGGTAGGCACTTAAACATATATAACCCTTTAACTTAAAATTAGTCCTAACTATTTTAAAACAATGTTGACTTATAAAGAGAACTATTTGGGTGTAATCTTTAAGTTAATATCTATAAGTCCTCCTAGTTACTTAAAGAAGCATAAATAAATATCTTTTATAGATAAAAATGTCCTTATTACTGCCCTGGACAGTTGCAGTTTCTTTGAAGAATACAGTGTAGTAAGTATTGATATAGTGAAATTCGCATAATTAATTGAGCCAGTGATAAACGACCTTTAGCTTAAAGACGTTCGACCCAAAGTATGGATGCTATTGTTTGACCTTTACCATCGCAATTTTAAACATCGCGATTTAAGACAGAGAGAGTCGGCCAAGAAAATATTTTCGGAATGTAACATATTGGAAATCGAAGAATCACTTTGGGCGCAACGGATCCATCTGGCAGCTTCAGTGGCCAGGATGAGAATTAAGAACAACGCTCTGCGATTAAGCGATCTTTTACCGAAACATTTAAGGGATGATCGAATTCAATATAATCAGTTCACACCCGTGACATGCTGGGTGAACGTCAATAAAATTAAGTAAATGATTTTCATACACTAGACTTCTCAAATGTGAGAATCTTTTTTGTCTTAGAAATGTCGACGAAATAACGAATCAGTTAAAAAGCACCCTTAACGTAAATCCACTGGAAGATGAGAAATCAGACCTGGAACCTGACAAATTTAAATGGGACAAAGTCTGTCCCCATTTTATAATCCTTCACTCCTCTGTCAGGACAAAACTGTCGCAATGTCCTTTAGTACAAAAGCATAAATTAATCTTGCAGGTGTGCCTAAATATGATTTCCGCAAGGGTATTGTCTATTATTTATGTCTGATAATTGTCTAGGACAGATCCTTTTGTTTGGGTCCGGCAGCTTTTGGTAAGGTGGTCACTGAGCTTCAACTGAAAGGGACCGTGATTCAAAGTCATATACACTCACCTAGGGCCACAGCTTATTTGGCAAACTTACTTTCTCAGAATGGGAAGATTTCAAAACTTGTCGTTTTTAGTGCAGGAAATAGGTCTTTTATTTAATTGAAATGGTTCCTTTTTAATTTAACTCAATGTGTTTTTAGAAAACCCGAGTACGAAGATTATCTTAGTAAACTGGGTACCAAAAATGTATCGGTATATTCCGAGAAACTATTCGAATGCGGATCGGAAGAGTCGTGTTTGGAGGAGGCTACAGCTGTTTTTGCCACTCCTCCAAATAGTTATTCTGCCGTGAGTGATCCCATCGACTTGGTGAGACAAACTGTGATTATCCGTTTTTTGATCAGTCAAGTTTAATAACTGATTCAAAAGTGTAGGTCTGCAGCCGTGGAGGAGATCTAAACCTTTTGGAGGTACTCACGGAAACAGAAATCACACAAGAAGGAAAAAAGAGAATCAAAAGTATCTTGGACGAACAGAAAAAGACTTTGCAGTTTGCAATGACGAAACCTCAAGTACAAAAATTAGGTCGTGAACTACTCATTTGTTCTTTAATTTGAATATTGTAGATTCAGGTTGTCATGTACGAGACGCATTCTGAAATAGACGCGGAAAACAACCAAATGGTCGATAAGACTTTAGAATATATAAATAAGGTTACCCAATTGAAGCATGCTGTTATTCAAGGAAAACTGAGCAGATCGGATTTGCCTCATGATGCTTTTACTTTCGTACGTAGGGTCGAGTTTGCAATTAAATGTCCTTTAAGGATTTCCCATTTTTAGCAAGTTCTTTAGAAAATCATTTAAAGGTGGTAACGCTAATTATCTTTTTAGAAGAAGAAAGTTATTAGCACTGAAGAAATTAATAAGTACATGGACCATGATAAGTTGGTTAGAAAGTACTTTGAAATTGAGAGCGTCAGCTCCATCAGCTTGCTCTCAGATGATTCTCAACAATCTTTGAACAGCATCATTACTGAAAGTACACTGAATGATATTGAGGTAGCGTATCCGTCTCGTTCTTTTGCGTTCTCATTACATTCTACTGGTATTTTAAGGTGCCACCATGTGATCTTTTCGAAAAGCCCAAACTGAAAGAAGTATCTCCTAAATTGTCCTCTTTTGAAAACTTGAAAAAGCAAGGCTGTTACCTCGCTTTAATACAGAGAAAGGTATTACTTTTTTGACTCTCCTGCCATATTAAAATAATAAAAGCATCTAGCAGTTCATTGTTTCTCATTAGAGAATAACTCATCTTGATAACAAGTATATGATAGACGTAGCAGAAAGTAGAGGTTTGTTTGGAAAGGATGCCGAATCAGCGGAGAAACAAAAGAAAATGGAGAATCCCAAGAAGAAAAGGAAGACATCTCCTCGACCATCGAAGACCTTCAAGAGAAATCAACCCATCGAGGTAAATCCAATTCGATTTCAATTGGCCGCAGTGGGACAACTTCATTTGGAGTATTATAACTTTTAGATAAGCAAGATCGCAGCTCCAACTTTGGCATTCCAGCGTCATTCTACTGAGGCAACCAATGTCCCTTGTCCTCGTGAACAACAACGGAGGATGCTGACGTACTCAAAGGTGCCTCAATGCCGCCGGTGGTGGGGCGAAACCACCAGACACCTCACTTCTCTTAGGGAACGGCTAATTAATAAAAAAATTTTGCCGACAGTTACCAAATTGTCACACGCGCAAGCTAACGATTTTGTTACCACACTCGTTCAAGGGTCCCGACGTATCGACGAGATTGCTTCAAAAAGTAACAAAAATCATCATATCCCAGTATATCCCAGATTAAGACTGTCCAGACCTATTCCAAAATCCGACAAAGTTCCCTTTCCGCTTGCAGTAACTGTTGTACATTTCCCTTTTAGAGCCTAACTCATTATTGCCCATTTTTGTTTGAGGATTGCACATCATATGATCGAGCAAGGGTCATATAGTGTCGCTTTTGGTTTTTAAACGTTTTCCTGCTTACTGTCCTACGTAAAATACGATTTAGGAGGAAGATTTGCGAAATTCTTTGTTGTATTCGTTCTATTTATGTACTTGTTATTGCAGCCGAAATTTTTTGCGACATTTTGTATTTCGAATATTATTAAATGAAACGCTATTGATAGTCATGTAAAAATAAATCCCCAGAAAGTGAGAAATAAAATGACCACTGATGAACTACCATCTTTTCGTTTCAACAAATTCATACTAGAAATAGAGACTGTAGTAGATATCGCACGATATGACCAAACGTATAAATCATCAACCAATAACCTTTCCTTGTGCCTGTAACTCGTACTATTTTTCGAGATAAAAATTGGAATATCTTCGACGAAACTTTGATGGAAGACTCGACTGTGACAAGAGTTTTCCTGTACGAGGGTGGATTGATAAGTTTCCGGCCTGACCAAGAAAAACAAGGTTTTTAAAAATTTTTTTTTTTTATTTCTCANTAGCAAGGAGATCGGGCTGAAACTATAGCTACAAGCTATCCAAGGATGGTACTATAGAATGTCACCTCAAGGTAGGCCTAGTGGCGTCATCTCTTGGTTAGGCCGGAAACTTATCAATCCACCCTCGTAAATTGACCGAAAGAGAAATTACAGCACAAAGGTTTGATTATTGGATTATAGAAGCCAAAGGTATAGAGATCCATGAAAAGTTGAGGAAAATTCATGGAGACAAAACAGGGATTGAAGTAATTTCAATAGGGAAAAGCCAAAATTATGGACAAACTGACGCAGAATTGAAGAAGAATTTCTTAAAGATAATGAATACATGTAGTTACAGATGATGATAATCCACTTCCATAATTTTGGTTTGTTTATAATTCGATCTGGAACATTTTTCAACAAAATTCTGTAAATCTCATCAAGAACCCGATTCCTGAAAAACCAATGCCAGGTTTTTGGTTTACCTTTCAAAGAAAATAAATACAGTTGAACCTGGATAAGTGAGAGCTCAAGGGACCGCGATCTGTTTCTCTCTTATAGAGGTTTCTCGCTAACCCGAGTTTCTAGCTTACAGAGTTACAGGAGGAATTTGTCTCACTTATAGAGGTCTATAAAAATACGGTTCGACAACACATTGAGTTTTCGTTTAGACATTATGAGGAAGTACAGGACCTTTCTTCGCAATTGCTTTTATGAACTGACTGTAATAAGATTGATAAACAAGTCGGTACGCACATTTGGCTATAATAAAATAATAAAGACCTACTCGGTCATTCGCAGATTTGGTCATTCGAATGAAATAAGAGTCTCTTGAAATTTAAGAACGAGTCAGGACACAGGATTTTTGTTTCTCACTTATAGAGGCTTTAGAAGACCAAAATGACGGGACCTGGCAAATATTCTCATTAATTTTTTTTTTTTTTTCATGGAAGAGGGGAAATCTACAAAAAACACCCAGCCATGCGTACGACTGGGTAGTGTCGGATTCCCGAGGAAGATGTCCTCGGACCTACCGACTAAAACCCCTCTACCTCAGGCAGTTATAGGATCAATTAAGGTCCTCATTAATAGAGTTTCCTCGCTCACCCAGTTCTCACTTATCCAGGTTCGACTGTAATACCTTCTGGTCCATACTGAAATTGTTTGGATGATGATCAAATTCCTTTTTTTTACTTTTGGTCATATCGTACTTGCTTTTATGCACATGCCAGAATTCCATATAAACTTGGATTGTTACCCCTCTTACAGAATCGTCACCGATCTCTTACAAAAATATCCAGCGTAGCGCCAAAGCCAGAAAGAATTCCACTTCCTATTGCCGTCACCGTGGTCCAGTTTCCTTTTATTATTACCTCAATGCGTGGAAGAAGTTAATATCTTTTGTTTTTTGTTTGTTTGTTTGTTTGTTTGTCCGTTTGGATAAGTCGTGTAATAAACATCTGGCAAAAACCATTGGCATTTTCAAATACTCCCACCACTACAGCGAGAATACACCTCATGCAATTACCCTACTTATTTACCCAAATTACCCTAAAGGTCTCGTCCCTTTAAATTTAAGAGAGTTAGATTTTTGATATAGGATGTAGTAAGGAGAAGTCAGAAAACACCTCAGTACCTACAGGTAACATCCTTCCCAAGATAATTCGTTTTGACATGAATCCTGTTCCAGGATTTCGACGAAATAATCAACATCACACGTCGTCGTCATGAAAAGATTAAAAAGAAACTCCAAGAACTAAAAATGACAATGAGTCCGAACAAGAAAGTTCCCAGACTGAGTCTCGAACAAATGAATGTGATCAAAAGCAAATACAACACGCTCTCTAGAAAATTCATGTTAAGAAGGATTGAAAGAAACAAAAGAAAAGCAAAGAGAGAAGAAATGAGTGACGATGACGAAGAAAAAGAAATTACCGAGGTATTGACACCATTAACCGAACAAGAAATTCGCAGACTGAAGGAGCAGTACAGGAATCCCTTTGAACTAATGAGAAGTATGACCGCTGACCAAATGAAGAATCTCATACATACTCCTCTAGTGGGAAGCCCGATTTTCAGTGAACTTGCAAAGCCTGTCAACCAAGAAAGCAGACGAATGAAAGCCATCGAAAATATAGAAAGAAGAAACGAACGAATAAAACTTATAGTTGCCGGAAAATTATCTGGTCATTCCAAGCCCAAAAAGAAAGTTATTTTAAGGGCTTTCTAAATGCTGAAGGACTTTGTGAGCATAATAATTGATCTAATTTCCACTTCGAAGCAGAATCTGACTTCAATGAATTTTTTCCTTGTGATTTCCTTACCACTTATGAGCATGGATTAAAAATTGAAAAGTACAAAAATAATCGTAAAATATGATAAAAGACTAGAATAATTTTTGGTCAAAAAATAAAGTCCCAACTTTTCTTACTGTTCCTGCTTTTCTTTTCTTACATGTAAATATTCACTAACGTTTTTAAATAGCACAGCATATTGAAACGGTGTTACTGTGTGTAATGTAATGTAACTATTAAGATATTCATCATAAGGTCATCAGTCCTAAGACTGGTTGGACACGTACCCCCGCTCTTTCCTATCCTGAGCTAAACTTCGCATTTCCCTAAAATCGAGATATTACCGCTTCTTTTTTTGAAATCGGAAGGAAAACTTTGAGTTGGCTGAATGAATTATTTCTAGTGTAGCTATTATCCGTAGGATGTCGCAAGTATCCTATTCACTTCCTTATGTCAATTAACATGTCCGTTACGTCATAGCGCATTTAAAACGTGAAATTATTCTCTGTAGCCTGGAAGCGGTAGTCATGTGTGGAAACACAACCGCGAAATGGCTAACTTTCGCACCGTTCATATCGATCGTCGATAGTTTTAAAGCAAAGTCCGCCGTGTCATTTTCTAGGCGTGTGACAAGCATAATGTACATCACCGCCAAATGAAACGATACGATAAGTAATCTCTTTCCCGTGAACAAAATACCGTTTTTAATATATCGTGAAACGTTTATTAGTAAACGTTATCTTATCGTTGTTTTGCTTCGGAAATTTTCCGAACGTTCGGATTAAAAAGTTATTGAAAAAACATGGCTTCGTTAATCGATAACAGTTGCGATATGCCACAATGGAAAAGGGATTTGATATTACGGATCCGCAGCAAATCGTCATCATCGTCAAAAACGTCCGTAGAAAGTGAGCACCAACAGCTGGTGGGGAGTGAGACCCCTCGAAGCTCTTCGGCCACAGGCGACCGGTTCGGACAACAACCTAACCCAACGTGCTGCACCTCCTCAGTTAACGACAACGTGCGAGCAGACGAGGGTCTCGGTGTGGAGCGATGTAAGATACATTCGGCATCGAGTGTCTTCAACAGCAAGATGGTGCAAGAACGTTGCTGGATGGATTCCAAGCAAGTTAGCGCGTGTGACATTGTTCAAGAAAACGGCACGAAAGAACTTGATGCGGACAATCCGGACGAGTTCCGATACGGCCCGGGAATCGTGAACAAACTCAAAAACCGATATTTGAGTCTAACTCTTCGCGAAAACAACGCTCGCATCCGATCTTCCATTTTACCCCTTCGGAAAGCCACCTCTTTGGAGAACATCCTCGACAATGACCTGGAAGAGCCCCAACCGAAATATGTGAGCACAAGCTCGCGTATATTCGAGCCCAAAAAGGAGGAATGCAAGAGGAATGTGACCAACCGGTATCGCAATGCAACACGTGGTTGCGATCAGAAACGGGCCCGTTCCGTCGAGACCATTTCCAGGACGAGACATGAGGAACACGAATTCATCACCGATCACGCCTACAAAAGAGAGTCTGTACACGAAGAAGTGCTCATTATAACAGAGGCATCGGACAACAACAAGATCCGTGACAAAATCAACAGGCCCAAAAGGATAGTTCCGGTTATTTCGGACAGCGAAAAGCCGCCAGCCGATCTGATTCAACAGGCGAAGAAGATCTTCGAAGGAAGGCCGGAAAAACGTACAAGAGCTCCTCAGCCAACGGGCGAAGTGGCTGCTAAGGTCGCGACATACAAGAGCATCATCGTGCAGACTAAAGTGAATAACAAAAAACCGCCCATTAAACAGAAACCTGTTGCTTTGCACGGCGACAAACGTGCTACCAAGCCTGCCCTTGAGAAGAAGAACTCATCGACAGACAAAGAAGTCGACTCTACCAATATTAACAAGAGCGTAGTTGAAAATGGCACCTCGGAACTTGAGCACCTGATAAGGCCTTCGCAACTCCTATCGAATTCCGATTGGAGTTGGATATCAAGACAGAATTCCGCCGAGAATGCAATTTTAACCAGTCCCATACCAGACATATCAAGGGTCAAGGAAGGTGACAGTAAAGAACCCAGAAACGGACACGGCCTGTCTGAAACACCCGATCTACTTGTACATTCTAGTCCCACACATTCGAACTTTAAGATTTCTGCCACTAAGGATTTCATAAATGGAGAAATAGACCATTCCAATAATACCAGCAACAGTATCTTACCAGTATCAAATTCGACCGAAATTAAAGCGGAAATCGGTAAATTTAATAAAAGCCCAGTAGTCAGAAGTCCTGTTAAATCTCCTACCAATGGCTTCATTAGTAACGGATCCCCAATTCTAAGTCCTATATCTTCTGATACTTCTTCGAAACTCTTCAACGATCCTTCTGTTAAAGAGAGGGCGAGAAGTCCAATGAGACTCGAATTCGGAAGCAAAGAAGACATAACATCGCCGTCCTTCAGGACTTCTTCCCCGGACATTCATGAAGGTTTATCCAGTAAATCTTCTGGCAACAGTTTCACGTACAATCTCTCAAAGTCAAACGTATCAGGTAGTCATCTTCCTCAAGCTCAAACACCACCAATACAGAAAGTGCTTTCCCCGTTACTAATTGAAGTAAATGGAATAGGAAAAGCTTCTCCCAAAGGATCCCCTCTGGCTTCGCCCCGACTTTCTCCTAGTGGCAAACCCAGAAAATTCCCTTGCCTTCCTCTGGGAAACAACGAAAATTCACCCCACATCTCTAATAAGACTGAATTAATTACATCAAACAGTTATTCCCCTCTTTTAACAACCAAGACGGTTAATCCACCCAAAATCAAAGACTCTCCTAAAATTGACGTCGTTATCGCGAACGGTGTTAAAATAAAGAGTGCAGATGAAACACGAACCCTAAAACCGAAACGTTCTAATCAAGACTATCAGCAAAACTCTATTGTGTTCAAGTTTACGGACAGAAAAGACGTGCCTGATTACGTCTGCAATGATGGCAGGATACGTAGTGCAAAAATCGAAAGACCTAAGGTAAAATACATTGAAATAGGTATTCAATTCATAATGTGCACCATTGTTCATTCATCCGATTCATGATAATGCGTTTCGTTTTCCTCTTTACCCATTTTGCTTCATACCTTTACGAATGTCGGCAATAGTTGAGGATTTTCAACTGGTTTTAAATTAATATGTACCACTACCGCTAAGAACACTTAAATACCAATTTAGATTCCATGCTACAAAAGCTTATTCGTTTGAAGGGCAGAAAAGTATTATACGTGTGGCGTATTTAAAAGTGAAGCAAGTATTATACTTGTTTATTTTACCAAAACCACACCTATTTGTGAATAACTGAGTTTGCTTTATGGAGTAACAGAAATAAAATTAACATTAGTTGAATCACTCTTAATAGTGACATTTCCAGCGTAGCGTCTTAAAATAAACAATGATTCTAATGTAAGATACTGAAGCATCTTGATTTTCGAATAATGTAGGTATTTATCACTTATCGATAAAATACTATTTCCGATTATTGATAGATGACAGACAGACATTGAGACATATTTATTGACGAGCTAGTCCTATCAAACGTTGGCGAAATATCTGATAATATGGCGTTAAATGTACCAAGTAATAGAAATAATAGCAACAAAGTCTTTAAGGTAGTTGAGTAAAATTTTGATTGACGCGTGTAGCATAAGTGATACATCAAAGGCAATCGTAATAGGGAAGGAACGTTGTCCTTTCATTAAGGATAATTCTTTATAGAAACGATTGGAGAAGCCCATATTCAATTACCAAAAAATTCTGCTTCAACTTTTCGTTTATTTCTTGTATATGTAGTACCTACATATTACGTCTAAACCTATAAAATTAGTCATAGAACTTGAAATATGATGATGCGCCTAGATATTTCGTAAAACAGTGATGTTTCATGATACGTGTAACTAACATTGTTTAGTCATATCAATATGTATCTAGGTCTCAGGCCTAAAATATTGACAAACCATTGTAACTCATCGATCCATCGGGCTTGTGTTGATCTAAGACAAGTAAATGGTTCTGATATCACGAAAAGATGGCAATTTCTTTCATGTAAAACCGCCAGTGATAATTTTAAAAGCGAACTTTCGTTATACTGTCTCCTACTTCTTTATCAACATGATACTCACGGGCAATTTTCTTTGTTCATTCGTCAGCATATAATCTTTACATTTCTTACAAGGACGAAGTTTTGTCAAATAATATTAATATGTAATATTATTATTAAACGATATGTTATA